AAAAAAAAAAAAAAAAAAAAAAAAAAAAAAAAAAAAAAATTGTGATAGAAATAAAGAGATCTAGGGATAAAATGAGTAATACAAAATCTCTAAGGAAGATCTTTTTTATTTAAAAAAAAAAGTTAGCTACCAAATTGCTGTTTACAGTGAATGTTTTAAAAAAATTGATATTAAGTATGTAGAAATCATGTCCTTTGTAACTATTTCAAATGAAAAATGTATGTCAATTTAGAAACATATAAAATGTCTCTAAGACTCTTCAGGTAAGAATTGAAGACAGCTTGCATTCTCAAAGTTAAAAAGGACACTTTGGTGATCTTCTCTTCCAGCTTGTCCAATTACATGATTGATTTTAAAAGACTTTCTTAGACCAGTCTTCCAATGCTCCAAAAACAGTGAAATGTCTCATGACAAAGGTTTTGTTTTCCTTTGAGTTCTTTTGCATTCATTTTAGACAGCCACTACTATGGTAGGTTTGCATACCTTCTCAGGATTTTGAGGTACACTGCACATCAGAACTGTGTTCTCTGAGAGAGATTACCAACTTTAAAAAGGAAAGGAAGCGTCAGACTTTTCCAATTACCCAGACCAAGGGCTTCAAACAATGATTTATTGACACTGCGTTTAGCAGTGTTAAAAATCTGAGTTCCAATATGGTAAAAGTAAGTTTACTTCGTCATTTTAATATTTGTCTTAATATGCCATCACAATCTGGATCATTTCTTATTCTGAGATAGTATTCTAGTCTGTACATAACCCATAATTTAAGTCTTGGGCAGTTGGTGGAAAAGTGGGCTCAGTATTGCTAAACATTTTGCTAGTCAATGTGATTTTAATGCAATGCTGAATGGGCATCCCTACTCCTAAGCATTCTGCTGTAGTTTTATTAGGGATGATAGCTCTGAAGGAGAATGCTTGGTTTTAGGAGATATAGCAAAGTAGCTCTATAAAAAAGGCTGAAAGAGGGTGTCCATTTCCATAAGCCTTCTTTCACTGTGGAAGTTAGCAGGCTTTGGATCTGTCCATATCCACAATTCCAAGGCATAGCACAAAAACTCACACACATCTACTCTTTGCTTAAGTGTCATCCTAATGGGACCATCATGATTTTCTTTTTACAACTAGACTGCTCTCTTCCACCATTCAATTTAAACTTGTATCTGCACTTAGCTACCTTCTGCTGTTTCTCTTCTCTTATCCCCCAGCTGTAGGCTACAAAAGGCAAATGATTTTTATTTGCACTGATGAACATTGTCTGACACATGGTAGGCATTCATTTACTGAATGGTCATGGCAGTTTTTCAATACACATTTCAATAATAGGTGTTTGTTGTATTTCTCTTTTGATCCATCCGTCTCTGGTTTTGTATACACCCCATCTGCTTTGATAATGAGCTTAGAAGTAGCCACAACTCCTTAGAAAACACTACACCCTACAAACACTTGTGTTTGGATAATGGCAGACTGCTATGAGGGGAAAAAAAAAAGTTCCTTCCTGTTCCAGACTCCCAGGGCAGTTAATTATCAAAACTGTGTATCCTGGCCAATGCTAGCCATCAGATCTCCACTTTGCTTATTTTAGCCCTTCCCTTCCTGTTTCTCTCCTGTCAAGGCCTAAGGGGCATAGAACAAGAATCAGTGCTACTAAAGCAGAAACCACCTAAGCAAATGAGGGCGCCGATGTTACTCTCACAAGTGTGTCAACCCACTCTTCACCAGCCCCACACCCTTTCCACTAACAATGGCTCAAACAGAAATGATCACCAAGTATCACTGTTTTCCTCAGGCTGTATTTTGGATGTGTAAGAGGTACAAACCAAAGGAAAACAAAGGGTAGTGATTTAATTATACAAAGTTGGAGTTGCTCTTTTTATAAATAGCTAAAACTTAACCTACCAAGATAGACAACATTTTGGTGGTATGTATGAAAGTAGTTGTTATGCTTTACATTTCTCAAAATCAGTAATGCCCATCCGTTTCAGTGGCATGTCAGATCTGTTTCTGATGTAGGCACAGTATTTTCATTATGATGTTTTTAATGGAGAGGTTAGGGGTTCAGTAGCTATATTCAGTTTAATCAAGGATATGCACTGCTATCAGCCTTAACCCAACCAGGAAGAAAAAGGATGTATTAGGTTTCAGGCCTAAGTAGCAAGGAAGCATGTATTAGGAGCTATGCATTCTAAGAGTATTGCAATAGTACACTTACCTCACACTCCATTTAGTGATGAGTAGCTTTCCTGGCCTATTCTTTGTATCATGTACTCTCCCTTGTAGAGCAAAGAGAGAACAGGAATAAAGTTTGAAGATAGGAGTTCTGCAAAGCAGATAGAAGTTCTCAGGAACCTAGACATTCTCAAGTAATTTGAATGAGAAGATAATCACTTGAAGGATACAAAGTAGAAAGCTTTCATTAGGACTAAGTAGTGGAGCAAGAATGACAAAGAACAAAAGCAGCTTCACTTGGTTATAATTAATTTGCAGTGGGTGGAAAAGCAGGCACCAAGCCAGCATCACCACCTTATAAATAATAAATCTTGGTAGTAACATTGCGAAAGACTTATAGTAAGGTTGCGTCAGTGTAGTGAAACATCACTAAATGGGTGGCACTGCCTGGAAAAGCACATTTAAGAAGGCATCATTCCACAACTTGATCCAGACACTTAGAGCAGACAGTATAGTTGAATTTGGGATGTAACATTTGTTGCAAGGGCTGCAGGTAGCATGTGCTTAGATAGCCATAACAATACTAATAGGAAGGTGTATCCTGGTCCTTTTGAATATAGTATCTCAGTAGGACTGCTAAAAGCATACTTAATGTCTGTTTCTAGCTTGTTTACCCATTGTGTTGCTTTCTTACAGATTACAGCTGTGCGGTCAGGAATTGAAAAGTAGAAATCAGCTGTTAGCAACTTAAGAAAAAAAATGTTAAGGAAATGCTGCCTGTTACCACCTCTTTGTCTGTGCCTCACCCCTTTTCAGTTGGTAGTGTGGTAGTTTCAGTGGTGTCAGTGTCTCCTCGGGAGAGGAGCTGTCAGTGAACCAAGATGGCTTCCTATATGCCTTTTCTCAACTGAATGATTTCCTCTTAAAATGAAAAAAAAAAAAAAAAAATGCCAGGCAGTGATGGCACATACAATTAATCCCAGCATTCAGGAGGCAGAGGCAGGCACATCTCTGTGAGTTCAAGGCCAGCCTAGTCTACAAAGAGAGTTCCTGGACAGCCAGGGCTATACAGAGAAACCCTGTCTCAAGAAAAAAAAAAAAAAAAATACAAAAACAAAACTGAAGTTTTACCAATTTTTTTCTTAGGATGGGAAAAGTTAGATAACATTTCAGTTACTCACTATTGAATAAATATTGACAAGCTCTTGATACACATACGATGTCTCACCTTTATTTTAGAGGAGAACCACAGAAAACTGATGAGAAAATCTTGCACGTAGGGTAGTTTCCTTTCTATAGTATTTGTGATTTCAGTTATGGTCTCTAGTAAGTATTCGTTGGGAATTTTAATGTTAGTAATTGATTTCTCATTGAAGGAGCAAAAGCACTGTATCCAGCAGTTATAGATGGCAGAAGTGAAGTCGATGTTCCATGAAGTCCTTCCAAAACAAGGTATATCTCCCAGGTATTTTGGTTATAGACTACTAGAGACTTATCAGGTGATGGGTGGTATCACACAGCAGAATAGCTAAGTATTTGCAACTACTGTGGTTACATGCCTCACTTACTGTCCACTCCCAGGTCTATTGTGTTTTTGTGAGTAGGTTGTAAAGAAATTCTCACTTTTTTCAACAAAAGGACACCGAATTAAATACTGTTTCTTATAACTATAAATCCTGTTATACCTCAGTGCAGAATATAACGTGAAAGTCTCAGTGAAGTGGAATTCAAAGGAAGATTGAAAATATGGGGAAAGTAACCTAAAATCAAACTCTAGTAAGAAAAGCTAACCATTCCAGTTAAACAACTCATAATTTGAGCATTCATGTTAAATGTTGCAGCTTGCTATATTTTTGTGTTGTGTACATATTCTTCCAATTAAACATTTGGCCCAAACAGTTCTGTTGTGTATCAGCTCTTGTTTCCTGACTCTTCAGTATTGAGAAATGTTGCTTGTGAGATTACTGCTTTGTCAGTCCAGGAGCAGAAACTTTTTCATTGGCAGTAAGATTTTAGACTTACATTCTAGTTGCAAATCAAAACCACCAGGCCTCTTTCTCAAATTAACTTCTTATTTCTTATTAATAGGGCAGTTGTCTGTGGAAGATGTAACCACAATGGTGCTGTGTAAACCCAAACTTTTACCCTTAAAATCTCTGACTCTGGAAAAACTGGAGAAAATGCAGCAAGCAGCACAGGATACAATCCGCCAACAAGAAATGGCCGAAAAAGAAGACCGGCAAATAGCCCAGTGACGAATACCACTTTAAGGGGACGGACCCCCATCTTAATAGGAACTAGAAACTATGCTATAACTATAGGCTGGAAATACATAATCAAACTGGACATCCATAATTTTAAAAAACAAATTTGGGAACTTAAACATTGGTTTGTGTTAAAAAGAAAGCTTTGTATCAAGTTAGGGGATTTTGGAAAAGTTTTTAAAATTATAAATTACCTTATTTGCTATACCTATTGTTATGAATGTAAGAAATTAAATGCATCTTTTATGGATGAATGATTTCTTCGTGTTTATTAGACACTTAAATCTGAAAATAAACTCTGTTCTTGAATACATTGTTGGGCTTACATATTACCCAAAAACCAACTTAACCAGTTATGTACCATGTTACATTTAATGGTATGTAGCCTAACCCTAATGACAGCAGCAATAACAAAACTGGTTTCTTAAACAAATTTGATTTTTTGAGAAACCTTTAGCTATTCTGGAGTCAACTAAGCTCTTAATTACATTAATTTTAAGAAATAGAGAATTGCATAACTATTGAGTAATAAATACAAAAACCTAGAAATGCTTATTATAGCCATCATAGTAATAAACCTAAGTAATATGAGCTTAGAAGAGCCCATGAAGTATAAACAGTAGAGTTTTCTTTCTAAAAGACTCTTATCAAGCCCTGTAACCAAGAAACTATTTTGAAAATTATAAATGTAATGGTTTACTGCAGTCACTAGACACCTTCAATTACCACAGACCTTGAAACCTTGCTAAGTAATTAGCCTTTATAAAAGAGGCTAGAAATAGGATCTCTCTTTAACTTATTTATTGGTAATTACAAATTGGTATTTAGATAAAGTACTTGGAGAATACTTTCTTAAACATGTTAACAGAACTTAAGTATAAGAGCTGTTTATATATTAGACAAACTTCATTAATCTCCAGATCAGTAAACAAAAGATGAAAATATACATGTATTTCCCTAGAATAACTTTAAAAGGCAGTTTTTCAACTATTACACTGCTTTAAGATTTTTATGTGTCTATGTATATGCTACCTATGTGCAGTGTCCACAGAAGCCACAAGAGAACATCCGGTACCAAGAGGGCTCAAATTACTGGAGGATGTGAGCTGCCACCCAATGTGGGTGCTAGGAATCCAACTTGGGTCCTGTGAAAGAGCAGCAGTACTCACTACTGCTTAGCAATCTCTCTAGTCCTGTTTTATTTTTTTTTTAATTAAAATCTGAAGGTTAAAAAGAAAGTTTGTCATAACTTGAATTCACTAAGCTCAAATGTACTTGTTTTGAAAGCCAGGCATGGTGGTCCATGCCTTTATTCCCAGCACTCAGGACACTGAATGGACACAGGAAGACTACCATGAGTTTGAGGACAGCCTGGACTACCTAAAGAGTTATCAGGCCAGCCAGAGATACATTAACAAGGCTCTGTCTCAAGGAAAAATAAAACATTTTTGTTTGTCCACACTGTTAGGATTGAACACAAGGCCTAATGAGGTTTACATTGGAAACCTAAAAGACGTTTTCAACAGACAAAATAAATGAACTCCCACCAAAGAGTCAACACTGCTTCACGGTTTATTTTGTTGTACATTCTTGTAGAACCGGGTTCATTTTTCCAGTTTTGTAGAAAAATAGATGTTCCAGCCACCATTTACTTAACTGTCTAGTATTTAAGACCAATCAATATGTTCCCTGGAAAGATGAAAAAGTCTCATGACTAACTCGTCTTTTAAAAATTCTTTAAGACAAAAATGTGTGTGTGGGGTGTGTGTGTGTGTGTGTGTGTGTGTGTGTGTGTGTGTGTGTGTGGTGTTTTACTCCCAAAGCACAGCATTTCCACAGCAGCAGCCAACATGGGGCTTCGTAGCGTCACTTCACCCCTAACTAAAGCTTTGTATAAACCAGTGATTTTACTACAAAAAAAACACTGTCCTTGAAAGAAAGGAGTGGCAGTCAGACATCAATGCAAAACTTGGAATGATTAGGTCATATACATGGCACTTAGAAAAAGTAGCTTATCAGAATGGTCCACACTTAAGTGGTTACTCTGCTGTCCCTCCTTTAATTTCCCCTCAAAGGAAAAAAAAAAGAAAAAGAAAGTACTTCCTTCAAAAATCCCCATTAAATGTATGTTTATAAAATTTCAGAAATGCCTTGTTACCCAACCCCCCCCCCAAAAAAAAACTGCACTAACAACTCTTACAGTTCAGATCTGCCGTTATCACACCTAAGATTGTAAGAGTTCTTGTGTTCAGTAGCTCTCTGGTTTAAGACGGCCTCCATCTCCTTCACTTACAAAACGCTTTCTTCCCCTGTAACAAAAAGGACAAAAACAAGAGTAGGTAAAAATCTGATTCTATGAAAAACATTAAAACCTTGACTTGTTTACATATTTAAGACTTTAGAGTTCTGCTATTTTAAAGCCAGCGCGTCTGAATTCCTTTGAAAAGATGTTTTTTACCTACTAGATACCTTAGCCTTAGAAAACATCTGATAAAGAGCAAATATGAGTAGCTTAGAAATTACTAATGAACTTCCTTATCTACTTAGTTATTAATAAAAGTTAAATAGAAAATAAAGACATTTTAATTAGACTTCAGCATTTACTTCTACCTTATGTGAAAGCAAGTGAGCTGAACATAAGGACTTTAAACATGGAGAAGTATGAAAGATGGAACTATAGAATTTAACAAAATAGTTTTGGCCAGCAAGGTGGTTCAGAGTGGATAAAGGCTCTTGCCAGAAAACATGATCAATTCTGGGACCCACCAGTTGACCTCTGACCTCCACATATGTACCATGACATGAGTATATAAAGCCACATAAACAAATGAAAAATAAATGTTAACAAATAATATTGCCAAAATGTTTAATAACTAAATTTTCCTTGACCTTAGAAAAGTCCTAACAGACAACCAAATGAGAATCTGGCTCCTTCTAGCCCCTATGCCCCATAAGAGGATTCTTGACTGTTGTTTGAAAACTCAAGAAATTCTTCTCTACTAAAGTAACTGTACTCTATCTACTATAGCAGCACTCTCCCAAGAGAACAGCTGGCCAGCAGCCTACATCTGTAAGCATAAACAGACCTGTTGCAGCATTAGCCCCTACTCTTTTCCCAGACCAACATTGTACAAGCATGCAAGATCATACATGCATGTGCACTTAACACACAAAAAAAGCTAACGCTTAAGAGAGGACAAAAGTCAAAGTTGTTTGGTATTATGCTATACAACTGTAGGAACTCTTCAATGACTCCAGAGTTAAAGCCCCAATAAAAATAACCAGACTTTCAAACACAAGCTTAAAAAACAAACAAACAAACAAACAAACAAACTTAAAAAGCAACCATAAAGTACTGACAGGAATCTGCTCTTGTTCTTAACAGAAAGGCTGAGGACTATGCTAAAGTCAGGGTGGGATGAAACAGTGACAACAAGAGGCCGAGCCAAGGTGGAAGTTTCACTGATGCTGTGTGACACAGGACATCTATCCACAATCTGCATTTCCAGACATTCCTACTGCACCATCTTCCTCTCTCTGAGCTTCTAAACTTTAGAAATAGTCTGTCTCAGACTCTTCACAAAAACAAAAATTCAAAGCTTACATTTTTCAGACTTAAAAAGAACAAACAAAAATATATATAAAATATAAGTTTGGCTACAACTATTTAACTTACTACATTACAGCCTTAATTAATTTTAAGAGGAAAAGCCCTTATCACCTCCTTTAAGTTATATCCTAGAAGTACAAATATAATTCCTTCCAAAGAAAAACACTCCCACATGCACAGTTTCTAACAATAAGTTTCTCCATCACAGGAAGCAAAGGAAGCCACTACATAGTACAGGAAAAGTTGTTTAGACCTTTGACGTCTCAGAAAGTCTGAATTCAAACTTTGCCTATACAATGCACTAGTCATCAGACAGTGAAGGTTCATTAAATAATCTTCAATTTTCTGTGTTTCTAGTGACAATACCTACTCTTAAATAACATTTACTAACAACCTGGTAAACATCTATGCTATATAAAGTTAATTCCCTCCAAATGGTAGTCCTGTCCACAGTTCCAAGGGGACACACAAGCTTCACACTTGTTTCTCCATAAACTCTTAAGTAGGCAGTTCTTGATTTCCAGTCACTTCAAGATAGATACTACTTCATTTTTCTGACAACAGAATGACCAAAAAGAGACAGAGAGAACTATCTTAGCTCCCCAAGTATCTTGTTCAGTATTTTACACTGAGATAGTATTTAAACACAGTACCTTGATGGACAAAGATCTCGGACTTGTTTGGAAATGATTCCAGCCTGAAAACACTCCTCTACAAATCTCTCCAGCACAGAATATGAGTGTGGGACATCCAGATTAATATCTGGAATTTCATTGTAAATTCTCTCATAACCCTAGAACAAAATTACATATGCAATTGTTAGCATGTATAAAAATGTATGATGCCATGAAACAAGCCACCACTATACCATAAACTGATACAGTGCAAACTGGCAAAACAAGTCAAGATTTGAACCTTGAAAATAAAGTATATTTGCTTTCATTAAAAACTCTCTAAAGAGAACTAGGCAAATATCAGACAATGAACAAATTCCCTGACTTTTCCCCATCTACATTTACCATCTTGTATAAAAATGTAAAAATATCACCATTCAAAAAACATGTACAATTTTAAGTAGGAAAAGAAATGCAAGTTAAATGTTTCTTCTAGATATAAGGAAAGGAAAATACCATATCTCACAAACTTAACAACTATACTTTAAAAACAATAAAGACTGAAGTGTTGTTTTCCAAAACTAGTTACAAGTTTCACATCCAAAAGATTTAAAAAGTCAAACAAAATATGCCGGCATACTACATATGACTAAAAGAAATTTTCATTAACAGTTCATAACCTTTATTAAATTATATAGTTGAGGTATAAGCCTTTTAAAAACTTATTTAAAATAATGTCATACATACTCTTTTCATTTGGTCTATGGTAATGGTAGAAGACTTCCACAAGGATTTTAATAAATCTAAGATCATCTTGAATGCATTTTCTCCAGTTGATTCTAAAACAATTACAATGGCCTAAAAATTGAACAAAAAGAGTAAATTAATTTTTGTTCATCAGTTCATGAGAAATTGCTCCTAAAAATGTTATCAGATCTCTCCTCTAACATATAGTGATTATATGGTTTTTGTAATGATTACATTAATTTATCATTTTAGTATATTTAAGGAAAAAAATCTTTGTATTATTAAATAAACATTGGTCACTATGGTGTAAGAACCCTTGACAATCCTCTTTGGTGTGAGAATGTAATCTTACTTCATACACAAGCTCGTGGTGAAAATGAGGTACTTCCAGCTCCTTAAGGCAGTGTTCAGCTTCAGAGATATCTCCAGAGAGTAAATACTCTTTAAGCAGCATATCAATCTATGAGATTTAAAAGTTGAAATGTTAGAATTCCTAATTTTTAAAAGATGTGTACTTACCTAAATGATTTATTTACATTCACACCAATATTGAACATAGGGATTTGACATGGTGGTGTCATAAAAGAACTTTTTTATAATTAAAAACTAAACTCCCACGCTTTGAATGTTTCATTTATGAAGCAAATGCAGTACTTTTCTAAAGAATTACTGATATCTACAAGCAGGTTTTATAATGTGGATGACCTAGCTTGTAGCTATAATGCTCCAATGAATCCTATTAAAAATAAGTGATTTGCCAGGCAGTGGTAGCACAACCCTTTAATCCCTGCACTCCGGAGATAGAGTTTGAGGTCAGCCTGGTCTACAGAGTGAGTTCCAGCCAGGGCTGTTACACAGAGAAACTGTCTCGAAAAACAAACAAATAAATAAAGGATTTCGGGGCTGGAGAGATGGCTTGGCAATTAAGAGCATGCAATGCTCTTGCAGATCTCACACACACACACACACACACACACACACACACACACACACACACACTTAAAATAATCTTTGAAAAGGGCAGGGAGTTAAACACCACTAGAGGGCACTAACGTAAAGTCTGCTCACTTTTTAGAATGCCAACAAGTATCAGGATGGTCTTAATGCAATGAGAGCCAAAAGGTAAGACATGATGGAGCATTACTACAAGAACAAAGATTTCCAGTTTCTCTTTTCTCTACAATTGAGGATTTAAAACTCAGTATCTCAAAACATTTAAGAGTGGAGAGATGACTCAGTGGTTAAAAGCACAACGCCTGCTCTTCTGGAGGACCCAAGTTCAATTCCCAGCACCCACATGGTGGTTAACTACCATCTATGATGATCCAATGCCCTCTTCTGGCCTCTGAGAGCATTGCATACATGCATACAGACTTATATGCAGGCAAAACACCCAAACACATTAAAATATTGAATTAAAAAATAACATTCAGTAACTGAGCTTCAGTCAGAGCAAAGGAGACAATTCTTGCCTCCCAAATAAAGCCTGTATGGTATCATTTCTGGCTCTAGAGAAAAAAAAATGATCCTTTTTTTTTTTTCAGCAAAAGAGCTTTTCAACTAAAAATAATCTTCCTTGAAAATTTTCTGGGAAAAGTACATTTGTATCTAGAATTTTGACTGGTTGAATAAAATTAAGTATCCTCTACTTCAATTTCTATAGTATATTCATAAAAAAATAAAGTAAAATTCTACCACTAAACTACATCCTAATTAGTAATTTATTTTTTGTTTTAAAAAGTCTGTACTTGAGGCTAGGGATCAGCTCAGTGGGTAAGAGTGCTTGCACTACAAGCATGAAAACCACACTCACATAAAGAATATAAGCAGGCATTACTGTGCATAAATGTAATGCCAGCAGTGCTGGGCAGGGGGATCACAGCAGCTCACTAGCCAGTAGTCAGTGAAGACAAAGTATCACTGGCTGAGTGAGAGACTCTGTCTCAAGGCGAGACAGTGGAGAGTAATAGAGGAAGACACCTTATGTCCATGTATGTGCATAGGCGCAAAAAACTCATACCTCATATGATGAGTGCACCACATGATACAATACATATACACTACACACATACACAAAGAATAGTTAACATAAGTATATGTATTATATACTTAATATATTTTGTATAAATATTTACTATTTCTAGTATTTTTACTAAAAACTACAAGATATGTATTACTTAAGTTATATCTGTTATGCCATTAAGCAAGTGAACATGAGGCTGAAGAGATAGTTCAGTGGTTAGCAGCACTTGCAGCTCTTGTGGTGGACCTGGGTTCAGTCCCCAGTACCCACACAGTAGCTCACAACTGCCCCAACTTAGTTACAGAGGAGCAAAGGCCTCTCTGGCTGCACACGCAAGCATGCGCACACGCAAACACACACACGTTACATACAGACAGGCCCACACACACATATACATAAATCTTTAAAAAATACTTATATTTTAAAAAGTGGGAAGTGCTTTTAATTGAGCCCTTGTTCCCATTTAAATGAGTACCCAAAGTAATGTCAATTTCAAATTCATATATTGTTCTCTTTATTTTCAATCTTTTTAATTAAAAGATAATTCACATATTCTAAGAGTCTATCAATTTCTCAAAATATCACCTTCAGAGAGTATTATCATCTTAACAATATTGTCTTATAATCCATAAATGTATCATATCTTTCAATGTTTTCAGTTTTTAGTGTCTAAGACCTGAATTTCCTGTTAATTTTCATCATATTCTATTTTTATGCTTTTATAAATACAACTACATTTTCATTTCTAATTTTCATTCAATCCTAAAGTATAAAGAACTGAATTTCATGTATTGATCTTGTTATTGTGCAAATTTGCTAAAGTATTGGTTAAGTTTAGGTTCTTGGAGTTTCTCTGTAGATTTCACCTGGATTCTTCAACCTATGTATCACTTTGTCTGAGACTAGAGCTAGTTTTACATCTTCCTTTCTAGTCAGGATACCCTTTTTATTGCACTTCCTTGCCTAATATCCCTGGGATATTAACAACTTTTATATTTTAACTTTTCTTATAATTCTTCAAATTTTTAAAAGACAAAGCAATCATGACCTGACATATCTCTTCCAACCTATGTAAAAGCAAAAGTGGTCAACACTGTAACTACCCATTTGAGCTCCTTACCACTTAAAGTAGAGATATCAAAGAGACTGAGGGTCAATCAATCAAGTGCTTGTCATGCAAGTTGATGACCTTACTTTGATCCTCATTACCCATGTAAAACACTGGGCATGGCACACTTCTAATCTCAGCATTAGAGACCGAGACAAGGAGATACCTGGGGCTTGCTGTCCAGCCAACCTAGCTCTAGGTAAAATCCTAGTGAAGACTGGGACAAATGAGAAGGTGACAGTTCCTAAGGAATGAGACCTGAGGTTGATCTCTGGACTAAAACACAGACACACATGCATACACACATATGAACATGCATACACACAAAAAACTAATTAAAAATCAAAACAAAGAGTACACTAAAACAAGTACATAAACTACAAATGTTCTAACTGCCGGTCTCTAAGACCTAAGACCAGCAGTTAGACATTACATTTTTTTTCCACTTGTTAAAGAACATGAGAGAAAATCCACAGGAAGCAAATGTTGCATTTTAAAGAAATAACTCAATTACTAAATTCTCTTTTAAAAAATGTAATGAAGATCCTTATATCTACGACCCCGATGTACTCTAATGTTCCTAACTTGTAATCTCAGACTACCCAAATTGCTTATTTATATAGATTTATTGAATAATTTTAAATAAGTTAAGACTAAATACTACTATAAACAAGATTTCAGGCATCCTTTAGATGTTCAGAGACAGTGTTCTTAAGATTCATGACAGGCCTCTTAATAGTCATGCCATTAAGTCTCAAAAAAGGTAAAAAGAGCAACAATTATGTAATTATTTTCTAATTTGTAGATTATTCCATTTTTTACTTGCAGGTATATGATCACATTGAATTTTTACCCACAAAAGTACTACCTAGTAGTTGTCTTCTTGTTTTCTTTTTCAAAGGAACACATATAAGTTGAAAACAATGCTTATTAGGTACCTCTTTAACAAGGTGATTGACAGACTGCTGCCCGCCTCCAGATCCCCACACACTATCTTTGCGCTTTCCACCTTTAGACATACTCAGAAGCACAGTAGCTTTATCCAAAGCAGCTCTACCAAAAAGACAAAAAAAAGAAAAAGAAAATTTTCACTTTAATTCACAGATATGTCTGAGATTTAATACACTGTCAATAGTTTACAAAGTATCTATGTATTGACAACTTTTATATAACAAAAAATACATGATTTTTGAAAATAACTTTACAAATAAAACTTAGGTAGCAAAATATTTAACATTCTCATGCTCCTTTACATCTGTTTCTCATCAAGAAAGACCAAAATACATTGCAAAATAATTGACATATAACCAGGAAGGAACAATACACATACAACTTTTATATAGATTCACACCTTCTCACCCAAGGTCATTCCACTGTAGTGGGTAGCTGTTCTGTCTATGATCTTGAAGCACCACCCCTGAAGATGCAGCAGGTAACTGCTCCACATGACTATGACCTTGAAGTACATGCCCCTGGGGCATGGCCTCACAGACCCTTAAGACCTGGGATGCACAGAGGCATCAATCACTCTCTTCTCTCATGGTACTTGGTTGTGGGACTGATCCAGGCAGCCAGAACAGCATTTCAGAACCTGTATCAATTCTGTTCTGTACAGTGAGTTTTTCCCCTTAATAAACCCTTTGCCCTTTAAACAGACTCCATGGATTTCTCATTATATGTAAAGTAGCCCCACAAAGTTAGTATCTGTATCTAGGAAAATCTGAGGCATGGCTTTCTAAATCTAAGTCTCCAGGAAGTTTAGAAAAGTAAAACACCACATTGGGCTTATAATTCATTAAAACAAAGAACAAAAGTGAAAAGCACATTTTTTAAGAAAAGATTTCTACAGAATTCTAAACAAGGTTCACTAACTTCAGGTGTCAGAACCAGAAGGCATGGTGAACACTATCCACCCATGCTTTCATTTCACAAGTAGGGAGATCAGGACCAGAGAAGGGTAACTGGAAATGAGGAAACCTAGTAAATTGGCTCAGAATTCCTGCATTTTATTACTGTCCTCTTCTTGTTAGTTCATGTCAACACTCTTTTAACAATGAAGAACAGATAAATGACAACTACATGTCCACAATATCCGATGATGCGAGTGTCACTTTACAGGATGTTGTAGTTTCCTGTTCTGAAATTCTAAGAAGCAAAAATTAACTTACCTAGCCTGTACACAATCTACAGTTCCTTTGTAACTATCGATATAGGTATTACATAAAATTCCATCTCCAACAGCTCTGGCAATGAACTGGCCCACCAACTATAGTAAGAAAGAAAGAGAACTATGTAAAAAAAAAAAAAAAAATCCAAAATAAACCTTTATTAGGACACAATTTTGAAATGGATAAATGATAAAAACTTGCTGAACTACACAACAGCTAAAATACATGTTGGGATATGCAAAAATATCAGTTTGTTATGCATGACTTATACTCCTTTACAGTGGCCTTCAAGTTAATGCCACCAGGACTGAAGGCTACATCTGTTGTGCTCACTACTTAATCCTCAATATTTTGCACACTGCCTCATTCTTAACATATAATCAATAATATCTGTTAAAATGACCTACAGTCAAGGAAAAACAACTCCCATTTCTTAAATAAAATAACCAACTATAAAATGTATCTTGTGGAGAAAAGCTATGCACAAATGTTCATTTGAAAGTGTGACCACAGCATGATTTACTACAGAAACTAGAAACAACTTCTGTGACGACAATAGCGGTGTGGTTACGCAGTGCACACAAAGCGCAGTACACTGTGGGCCATAGAAGATATTTGATGCATTTTGTAAGAAAAATCAAATCTACAAAACAATCTGTGTGGTACAATTCCTTTCTCTAATTAAATAAAGGTAAAAGAATATTGATAAATAACTAAGAAACTAGAAATAAAAAATTATCAAAATGTTAACAGGTTTATTGTGGGTGGTTTTTTTTTGTTGTTCTGGCCTTTCTTCTACAATTAATAAATAATTATAAAATTCTATAATTAATATAAACTCAGATGATCATTTTCAAATATGTATATAAAAAGGGGAAAGAAAGTAAGTCCATTTCATTTAGTAACTCTTTATAAATTGATTTTTATGCAAATGTTAACAGCAATTACATGTTTTCAAAGTTACAAAAGGGACGTTATTACTTATATTTATGTTTTAATAAATGCCACTCAAGTAAGTCAATTATAACTGTTATAGCAACACACATTAATTCTTGGTAAAACAGTGTACGTGTAATAAAAATGTATGAGCAGAAAATACATTATATATGATCTAAAACGATGCACAACTGGTTGGGAAAGAGGTCAGACATAAAATCTAGTTTTTTCATCAAGACTGTTTGAAAAACAGCAGAAAGGCTGGGCAGGTTAGAGCTCAGTGGTAGAGCACTGCCTAGCAGTGGGTAGCCCTTGCTCTAACAGACAGTACTAAAAATACAAAGTTGGCGGAGAAAGACCTGAAGATGTGAAGAGCTATTTTTTGGATGGTGAGCAATGTGCATCATTTCCCCTCCAGCTATTCCGATTTGCTGGGAGCATGTATTATTTCTACTGTTGTAAGTATAAAGGGAAAGGACGTGAAGGGAAAGGAAAACAGCACAAACCTGCGGTGCTCTAGGAGTATCCAACGCCAATTCAGGTAGGTCCTTCAACAACTTATCAAATGACTTCTCCACATCATTTGTGCTCATTACTGTCCCACAAAGGTCAGAAAGCAGCTTGGATGTCATTTCTCGATGACTGGCCTTCCCCTCCAATGCTAAGGACACTGCCAACACAGGCACTCCACTTTTCATTTCACCAAGGTTTAAATCTCTTAACATTTCCTATTTAAAAGAATAAAAATAATTACTTGTCACTATATTTGGGTAAAATTTTATTTTTGCAGTCATGCTCTTTACCTACATTATACCTCCCTTTCTTTAGAAATATCAAAATAGTCATATTTAGCAGGTTTAAAACAGTAATGTTGATATAACCTTTAACTTCCTGAACATTTAGAATGTGAAGAAAACTGAAAATAGTTCATTCGATTACTTAATTAACTAATCCTCTGCTTTACAATCTATTACTATTATTTCTACAAATACTTGATGAACATTTGTGGAGAAACTCATTTTATATTATAGGCTGTTTACATTGCTCTACTTCAATTTTTCTCTTGAAGACTGGGTTTGATGGTATATGCCTTAAATCCTAGCACTTGGGAGGCAGAGGGAGGCAGATCTCAGAGTTCAAGGCCAGTCTGATCTACACAGTGAATTCCAAACCAGCCCAAGCTACACAGTGAGACCCTGACTTCTCTTAAAGCAAGTGTTTATTCTTTCATGTGAAATTTAAAGTGAGATCTTTAGTGTTTAAATGGGATTACTGTTTTAAATGATGGAATAAAAAACTTTCCTACTAAAATGAAATAGCAGCTAATATTTATTAACCACTCAACTATGTTATCAGGCATTATACCACCTCATTTAATGCTCAAAATAACCTAAAGTGGCATACTTACAGTAGTATGACCTTAGAGGCAGAGTTCTAACTTGGTTATTTAACACTGCCTACTTCTTAAAGTTTTCTTGAAATTTTTAAGCCATGATACACAACTAGGTGTATACTAGTACTACTGTCACAATGCACTAAGTAGTATCCTGGTTAGTAATCACTTCCTGCACCCTTTCATCTCCCTCAACTGCACTTTAACAAGCCACTGGTTTAAACACCATACCCATCTTACCAGGATAATCTTCAATCATGTTATGTAGCAAATTCAAATTGCTAAGTAGACTTCATATCGTTAAAATCACCTGTTCCATGATCTCTATTTTACACTTCTACAACACTGCTTTTCACACTATTCAATCACAGGACACAACTGCTACAGGTAAAGATTCAAATATCACAGTCCTTGCCTTCACTGAACAGAGCTGTTCCTCTGAACATAATGTTCACCTGTCATTTCCTTTACTTGACTGACCTCCAGCAGGGGAGGACATGCACAGGTCACAAATTTCTCCACATGGTGTGTGTTATGGAATGGTTTCCTCCAAGACTGAAAATAACTTCAGGCAAGGAAGCTCTTTTAACAAGATAAATAACTCAAAAGAACTTCAGGAAGTACCTGAAACTGAGCAGACTTACTAGGTCTTTCCCTACCAGAGTGAAAGAGAAAAACTGCACAGAAGACACTCGGCCAAGCTGAGCTACAAAGATTAAGACCAGAGTAGCTATCTGGAGGCAGCAGAAACCAGACCAGCTGACTACGAGGTTTAGACTAACCGAGGCACCTGTTTTTACAGGTTGTGCAGTGTGCTCTGGGTTCCCAGTTTTGTGAGCCGTCACCCATACTGGAGTACAATTTGGCTGTACAACCATCTTTGGGTCATTTCTTCACCTGCAAGTAACCCCTCTCCTGTAAGTAACCCCAATAAACCTCACTGATTCACTAAGTTGGAGTTTGGTGTATCTGTACTTTGGTCTGTTGAGGGTTCCCTATCTGGGATGAGTGTATGTGTGTGTTGTGTACCCCCAAGAACAGTTTTGTCACACAATGTAATTGGCACCCAAACAAGAACATGACAGAACCAAAGATGAGTTGGGGAGAACTGAGTGCAAGGTCCTGACTATGGATAGTGTAACTGGCCCCTATGGATAGTGTAACTGGCCCCCATAATCTCATAGGGATAACACTATTAGGAGTGGTCATGGTGTCCCTTCACAGCAATAAAAATCCTAACTAAGACAGAAGTTGGTACTTGAATATTACTGTGATAGACCTGATTATGTTTTTGTTTGGAGAAATTTGGACTTTGGTAATTTGGACTGTGAAAGTACTTAGTGAGCCATAATAGTGGGAACATGGAGGACAGAGGTGCTAAGAGTTATCTGAACTGTTGAGGGCTAACTCAAGAGGTTTCAGAGGAGGAATTCAGTATGTTGCCTAGAGAATCAGTCTTGTCACTATTTTGGTGGGGGAAAAAGTGGCTGCCTTTTGCCCTTGTCCAAAGAGTCTGCCTGAGGCTAAAGTAAAGAGTTTTGGATTAATTCCATTGGCAAAAGAAATCTCAAAAGGAAATAAATGATAAGAAATGGAATAAAGGGAGTGGTAACCTCAGGGCAAGAATCCACCCAACTAAGTTCCCAACTTATGGAAAGAAACTGAAGTTTAGAGCCAGGTGTGGTGGTACACACCTTTAACAGCAGCACTCAGGAGGCTGAGGCTGGTAAATCTCTGAGTTTGAGGCCAGCCTGGTCTAGAGATCCATTTTCAGGTTAGCCAAGCTTAGGCAGTGAAGGACAGAAACCTGGTAATGATGTAATTGAAGGAGTAAGCAGTAAGCAGTAGAACTTGACAGCTTCAGCCATATGGTTGAAGGATAGAAGAAAAGGGTTATGGAATTTGCCTCTGGCACCTAAAGAAAACTGCTGAGGCCAGGCATGTGTCCGGGGTGTCCCTGAATAGAAGCCTAGTAGAGAGGCCATTGCATAAGCCGTGAAGTTGAAGCCTGGATTGCCTTAGAGACTCCAGGATGTTGGAGATGCCAGAGTTGTAGAATACCTGATGAGGAGAGCTGCTAACAGGGTGTGGAAACAGTCCAAGAGAAAGAAGTGTGTTGCAGTCAACAAAGCTGAAAGGAGTTGGGAATCTGAAGAGCATTTTGACATTAGACATGGAGATGCAGTTTGGAGTTTGCCCAGCTGGTTTTCAGTCTTGCTTTAATCCAATATTTCCTTGTTATGCTTCCCTTCCCTGCATTTTGGACTGGTAATGAATATCCTGTGCCATTATATTTTGGAGTTATGTGATTTTTTTTTTAAATTTGATTTTTACAGGTGATTACAGTTAAGAGATTGCATGAATCTCAGAAGAGACTTTGAACTTTGGACTTTTAAATACTGCTGAGGCTGTGATAGACTATAAGGACTTTTGAAGTTAAACTAAATATTTTGCATTATGATACTGTTACAAGCTTATGGAGGCAAGGGAGTAGAATGCAGTAGTTTGAATGTAATTGGTCTACATAATCTCATAAGGAGTGGCACTATCAGGAGGTGTAGCTTTGTTGGAATGGGTATAGCCTTGTTGGAGGAAGTGTGTCACTGTAGGAGTGAGCTTTGAGGTTTCCTATGCTCAGGATACCACCCAGTGTATCTGTCACTTCCTGTTTCCTGCAAGATGCAGCACTCTCAACTCCAGCACCACCTCTGCCTGCACACCACCATGCTTCCTGTCATGATGATAATGGACTGAACCTGTGAACTGTAAGTGAGCCACTCCAATGAAATGTTTTCTTTGTAAGAGTTGTCGTGGTCATGGTGTCTCTTCACAGCAATAAAAACCCTAACGATGATAGATAGCAGGCATGCAACTGAGGCTGAAAAACTTGAGTAGGGAAACATCAGCGAAGGAAATTCCAATAGTAGTCCTTTCCTTTATTGTGTTATGTGCACTTTTGTGTTATGATTGTGCTAGAGATTACATGGGTACTGCTATGAGTAAATGAGACATAAACTAAGGCTGAACCATCAGGAATGTCTGTGGGAGAAATCCCAGGATGTCAGTCTTTGTCTCTATGGTATGAGGTAGCATGTCTGCTTGATGAGTGGGGTCCACCATATGGATATGGAGAGGCTCTGAAAACAGTTAAAAGTTGGAACAGGTTCTCAACTTGTGGGGTACAACCCCCTTGGGTTGATATCAGATATCCTGCAAATCAGGTATTTACATTATGATTCATAATAGTAACAAAATTACAGTTATGAAGTAGCATTGAAATAATTTTACAGTTAGGAGTCACCACAGCATTAGGAATCTTGAGAACCACTGGTCAAGAGGAAATGTTACAGTCTTTAAGATTAGTACACAAGGGTCAAGATTGTCAGCAAGCAGCAGCAGAGGCTTCCTGGTCACTCTTAGGTGTAGTCAGAAATGCACCTGAGGCTGAAATGGTGGCCAAGCAGTAACTTGTTTGTGCAAAGGAGCAATTGCAACAAGAAAGACAGATGTGACTGGCATCCTCTGTGTTAGACTCTAATTTGGCAAAGAAAAAAGAGTATGGGATAGAGGTGTTGGCTTGTGACTTCTTAAGGTTCAGGGGAGAGAAGGAAGAAAGATATGTGCTCAAAAGCCCTTCCTCGAATCCAAGACCTTGGAACACATGGGAAGATTCAGAAGGAAGAAGAGATCACGGTAAAACCAATAGAAGATACTCCATAGGCCCAACCTTCAATAGAAAAAAGAAGGAAAATCTAGGATCCAGAATATGGTCCAAGGTAAGAAACTGGGATGATCAGCAAATACTCAGTGTTTGAACTACTGGAATTAAAGAAGATTTTTAAACAAGCCAACAAAAGAGCCTGTCACAGCATGCTTGTGAGGCTGTGGATCATGAGTAGATGGGATCAGTCTGACTACTGTGGAGACAAGAAAACTGAGTGATGTAACTTTCCACCCCTCAAGGTAAAGGCTGCATAACCCGAGACAGTGTGAGAGAAATCAGTCCCAGAGGACTGGCTTATCAGAGCCATTAGGAATACATAGTTATCTCCATCTAAAGTCCCCATAAATATCAGGAACTAGAGGATCACAGAGAAGAGGTAGATGCTGTCAAGGGCACTAGGACTAACAAGGTCTGTGTTTGAACCCCCGTTTTCCCTGAAAATCTCAGTGCCAGGGATGGGCAACCACCTTTTGAATTGTTGGCCAGGGAAGCCCATGAGGTCCCACAAATCATAAAACCTATAACTACTGTTGTTGGTTGTATGTCAGAACTAGATGGTTGTGGAGGCCCACAACGTTTCCTATCGAGATATTATATGAGCTTGCTTTACC